TATTTTTTAATGTTTTATTCATTTCTGAGACACACAGAGAGAGACAGCATGAGCAGGGGAGGGTCAGAGAGAGAGGGAGACACAGAATCTGAAACAGGCTCCAGGCTCTGAGCTGGCTGTCAGCACAGAGCCCGATGTGGGGCTTGAACCCACTATTCATGAGATCATGACCTGAGTCGAAGTCAGATGCTTAACTGACTGAGCCACCCAGGCGCCCCTATTATTTATTGATTTATATGTCTTTTTCCCCCAACTTTATTGAGGTATAATTGACATATAACATTGTATAAGTTTAAGGTGTACAGTGTGATGATCATTTGACACATGTATTGTGTTATAGAATGTTTACCAAAATGAATTTAGTTAATACAGCCTTCATTTCACATAATTATCATTTTGTGCTGTTATGGTGAGAACATTTAAGATTTCTTTTAGCAGCTTTCAGTTATACAATACAGTATTGTTAACTATAGTTACACACTGTACATGGGTCTCCTATATGTTCATCTTTTTGTCAACATCACACTTTACAGACTGCTGTAACTTTATGATAAGCCTGCATTTCAGATAGTGAAAATTCACTAACTTTATTCTTTCTGCATTTGTCTCAGCTGTCTGGGTCTTTTGCATTTTCATATAAGTTTTAAGTGAGCTTGCCAATTTCTACAGAAAGTCTATTGGAATTTGATTGAGTCTAAAGATTAACTTGGGAAGAATTAACAACTTACCAATGTTGGAATATCTTTCCACTCTTTGTATTTTCTAGCATATGGGTCTTTTCTTCCATAAACATTCACTTTTCACTATCAAGCCAGCCTAATCCTCCAAGTGTTGTTTGAGCATCACCCCCTATGTAAAACCTTTGCTGACATTTTTAAGAAAAGGTTTTTCTCCTACTCATTCCTTCCATCAAACTTTCTGCATATCTTCATTATAGAATTCTCAAATCTTATTTGGTTATGTAAGATTATAAAATTTGTAAGATGTATACCTTATTGTAATATGATAATTGAGATAAGCTAACAAAATTTTAGTAGATCTACATTCTTACATGCAATGAAAGATTTGAAATAATCACTATTTTTAGTTGTTAATATATGCATAAACGATAAAGTACATCTTTTTCCAGATTTTTTTGATGTATGATTGACAAAAATTGAATATATTTAGGTTATACAACATGATTTTTTATAAAGGTGTACATGATTTAATGAATGTATACATCTTGGTATGATTATAACAAGTTAATTAATACATTCATCACCTCACATAGTTACCAATTTTTTGTGTGGTCGGAACACTTAGCAAGTTTTAAATATATAAAACAATATTAATCATGATAATCACCATGCTGTATATTAGATCTCTAGAACTGATTTATCTTACAATTGAAAATGTGTATTCTTTGACCAGCAACTCCATTTCCCCTGTCCTCCACTTCTGGCAACTACCATTCTATTCTCTAATACTATGAGTTTTACTTTTTAAAATTTCACATATAAGTGAGATCATACGGTATTTGTCTTTCAGTGTCTGGCTTATTTCACTTAGTATAATGTCCTCCAGCTTCATCCATGTTGTCACATATGGCAGGATTTTCTTCTCTTTTTATGGCTGAATAGTATCCTACTTATGTATTTTTCATATCTCTCTCTCACATTTTCCTTACCTATTCATCTGTTGATGGACTTGTGAATAATGGTGCAGTGAATGAACATGGGAATGTGTGGTCTTCAAGACAGTGATTTTTATTTCCTTCGGATGTATACCCAGAAATGGGGTTGCTGGTTCATATGGCAGTTTTACATTTAATTTTTTGAGGAACTTCCTCAAAATGTTTTCCAAGAAATCTGAACCAACTTACGTTTCCATCAACATTGTACAAGGATTCCTTTTTCCCCTCTTTCTTGCCAGCACTTTTTTCTTGTCTTCTTGATAAGAGCTTTCCTATCAGGTGTGAGGTGGTATCTCAGTCTAGTTTTGATTTGCATTACACTGACGATTTAGCAGTGTTGAGCATCTCTTCATGTGCTTCGTGGTCATTTGTGTTTTCTCTTTGGAAAAATGTTTACTCAGGTCTTTGGCATATTTTTAAATCAGATCATTATTATTATTATTTTGCTACTGTGTTGTGTGAGATCTTTATATATTTTGGATATTAATCCCTTATCGCTAATATGGTTGGCAGATATTTTCTCCCATTCTGTTGGTTGCTGTTTCATTTCGTTGATTGCTCCTTTTGTTGTACAGAAGCTTTTTAGTTTGATGTAGTCCCACTTACTTAATTTTGCTTTTGTTGCTTGTGCTTTTGATGTCAGACCCAAAAAATGATTGCCAAGCCCAGTGTCAAGGAGCTTTTTTGATGTTTTCTTCTATGAGTTTTATGGTTTCAGGTCTTTTATTTGTTTCTGATCCATTTTGAGTTCCTTTTTGTGTGTAGTGTAAGGGTCCAATTTCATTTTTTGCACATTCCTAGCTCCCTGTCAAAGATTAGTTGAATATTTGCATGAATTTATTTGAGTTGTCTATTCTCTTCCACAGATTTATGTATCTATTTTTTAAGATTTTTAATCTCTACATCAAGGGACTCATAACCCCAAGATCAAGAGTTGCATGTTCTACTGACTGAGCTACCCAGGCACCCCATTATGTGTCTTTTTATGTCACTATTGTAATGTTTTGATTATTATAGCTTTGTAATATAGTATGGAGGTGTGATGCCTTCAGCTTTGTTCTTTTTACTCAAGATTACTTTGGTGGCACCTGGGTGGATCAGTCGGTTAAGCGTCTGACTTCAGTTCAGGTCATAATCTCATGGTTCGTGGGTTCGAGCCCCGTGTCAGGCTCTGTGCTGACAGCCAGCTCAGAGCCTGGAGCCTGTTTCAGATTCTGTATCTCCCTCTGTCTCTGACCCTCCCCTGTTCATGCTGTCTCTCTCTCTCTCAGAAATTTAAAAAAAAAAAAAAACACACATACAAAACATGAAAAAAGATTACTTTGGCTACTCAGGGTCTTTTGTGGTTCCATATGAATTTTAAGACTGTTTCCTACTTCTGTAAAGAGTGTTACTAGAATTTTGAAAGGGATTTTACTGAATCTGTAGATCACTTTAGGTAGAAAGGACTTTTTAACAGTATTCTTTCAATCCATGAACACAGGATATCTTTCCATTTATTTGTGTCATCTTTAATTTCTTTAATGCCTTATAGTTTTCCACATACAAATATTTTACCACCTTGGCTAAATTTATTTCTAAATATTTTATTCTTTTAGATAGTATTTATAAAATTTTTTTTAATGTTTTTTTTTTTTTTTCTTATTTCTAGCAGAGAGAGAGACAGCGTGAGCAGGGGAGGGTCAGAGAGAGAGGGAGTCACAGACTCTGAAACAGGCTCCAGGCTCTGAGCTGGCAGTCAGCACAGAGCCCGACGCGGGGCTCGAACCCACGAACAGCGAGATCATGACCTAAGTGAAAGTCGGACGCTCAACTGACTAAGCCACCCAGGCGCCCCACTTTATGAACCTTCTTAAGCAAACCCTTTCTAACTTCCCAAAGCATTTACTGATGTGAATTACCTGTCTGCCTCCACAGTAGATTAGAGTAGAGGGGAGAGTCTTGGTCAAAATTTGGGCAGGTCCTCCATATTTGTCCCACTAACTATGCTTTCTCAGTTGTCCAATTTAACTGGACAGGGAAATGCTAGCANCTCTGAGCTGGCAGTCAGCACAGAGCCCGACGCGGGGCTCGAACCCACGAACCGCGAGATCATGACCTAAGTGAAAGTCGGACGCTTAACCGACTAAGCCACCCAGGCGCCCCTATTTATAAAATGTTTTTAAAATTTTTTTTCAGATTAAAATTTACTTTTCAGTTTGATTTTAGGCTTGCATTTTAGTGTCAGTGAAGTGTCCCTCTGCTGAAATTTTGAAACTTAAAAAACTAATTTTTAGAAAGGACCATAAAATTCATATGATAGTTTATTAAGTCTAACAGGAAGAAAAACTTTGGAGAATGAAAGCCTTTGGCATTTTTATATGTTTTCTACCTCTACTTAAAAATAAAAATTTTGCTAAAATTTGATTTTTTTTCTGAAAACTTATTTTGGCGACTCAGTACCATAGAATTATCTCATTACTTTTCATTGTGTCATAGTGTTAGATAACTTTCTTACTTCATTGAGTTACTTTGGTAGAATTTGCAAATATTTAAGGAATGGGCTACAACTTGCTACTACAGGGATTGGTAGAGCAGAGAAGTTCATTTTTCAGGATAGATGTCTTCAGAGAGACCTACTTTAATGAATTATCATGGTTCAGAGTATCGCCTCCTGTTTGCAAACTGATTTTTGTCAGCATAAGGGATGATTTTTTTAATGTTCATTTTTGAGAGAGAGAGAGAGAGAGAGAGAGAGAATGAGCTGGGAAGGGGCAGAGACAGAGGATCCAAAGCAGGCTCTGTCCTGAGAGCATTGAGCCTGATGTAGGGCTTAGACTCATGAACTGTGAGATTATAACCTGAGCCAAAGTCGGATGCTCAGCTGACTGAGCCACCCAGGTGCCCCAAGAGATGATCTATCTTAAGGATAGATTATATTGACCCAAGTTTGTGAAACTGATTTATAAAATCCTAAAACCCATTATTTTATCATGAGAAATCTTACTGTCTTGTGCTCTGACATTCTTATTGTTTCCACTGGTGTATTATATGCACTAGGGAGATTTATGGGAAGCTACATTATAATCGGGGTACTGCTTGGTGAGCATGGAATCAGAAGAGGAGTTAGTTAAAAATCATGACAAATAAAGAGATATGTGAATATATTTTGAAAGATTTTTTTTTTTTTTGCTTTTTTAACAAGGTTGCTTATTCTTTAAGGCCAGAAACATATCTTGACTAACAATTTGGTTGTTTAGGAAAATCATTTTGGATGTTAAAAAAAAAAGGTTATATTAAATTTTTAGGCTGTAGTTAAAAGGTATATTTTCTTTTCTTTCAATAGTGTAAGACGAATGGAATGCAAGCCTTTTCTCAAGGTCATAATGAACAACAGCAACATCAGTCTCCAGTTAAAAAAGGTAAATTTTTACCGTAATTCCTAAATTTCATAAGGGAGTCTTAGTGATCATGGTAAGTTAATATTTGCCTAGCTGCAAACCTTATGTGCACAGGAAGTTTTTATATTTTTTTGGTTGATTTCTGTCTATATTAACCATGCTATAGGTGTGACTGCTTTAGAGGAGAGACCATAATAACAAGGCTTAACCAAGATAGAAGTTTACTTCTGTATCTTCTTTTTTTAAAGTATTTTTGTTATTTAAATTTTTTAAAAATGTTTGTTTATATTTGAGAGAGAGAGAGTGTGTGTGTGTGTGAACAGGGGAGGGGCAGAGAGAGAGAGAGACAGAATCTGAAGCAGGCTTCAGGCTCTGAGCTGTCAGCACAGAGCCCATTGTGGGGCTAGAACTCAAGAGCCATGAGATTTGGCTTGAGCTAAAGTCCGACCCTTAACTGACTGAGTCACCCAGGTGCCCCTATTTCTGTATCTTCTGTATCAGCTCATAATTGAGCTGGTGTATTCATTCAGCTCTGGTAAAGTATTTCTTGACTCAGTCTCCTTGCTTTGCCATCATTAATGTGTGGCTTCTGTCTCATTGCCCAAGAGGAGTGTCTTTGCTCCAGCCATCATGTTCCCTATCTAACCATCAGGAAGGAAGGGGAGATGTAGTTCTTAAAAGTATGACCCATAAAGTAGCATATATCGCTTTCACTTAGTGTATCATTGACCAGTACTGAGTCATGCTGTACAAAGCAGACTGGAAAATGTAATCTTTAGCTGTGTAGCCTGCTAATTCTGTTACTAAAGAAAGCAGAAGGAAAGAACTGTTCTTGGGGATAACCAATAATCTCCCCCACCAGCTACTTTTTAATGAAATAAAAATTATTAATTTAGTTTCCAAATTTTTGTAAATCTTTTGTTTAATTTAAAAGTTATGAAAATAGGGGTGCCTGGGTGGCTTAGTTGGTTTAAACGTCCGACTTTCGCTTAGGTCATGATCTCGCGGTTCGTGGGTTCGAGCCACGCTTCGGGCTCTGTGCTGACTGCCACCTCAGAGCCTGGAGCCTATTTCAGTCTGTGACTCCCTCTCTCTCTGACCCTCCCCTGCTCATGCTGTCTCTCTCTCTCTCTCTCTCCCCCTTGGAAATAAATAAAAATATTAAAAAAAAAGTTATGAAAATAGTCTATTACCTTTTTTCTCTGGTATTTAACTCCATTATTTCTAAATAAAAATGCTAAGTTGTTTCCAACTTTTAAATTTTTTGATAGTCTGTATTGGCAGCCTGTTTTGGAAAATAAGAACTTACGTCTTCCATGAAACTTCCCTCACTTCTTCATCCTTCTTTCTCCCCTTCCCACCATATAATTATTTCACAAGTTTTAGTGAAAGCGCTATCACTCTTTAGATTAAATACAGTTGCTTAGCCAGTTAGCATACAATCCATTGTTTTTTCTTGGAGCTAATGTTTGCATTGTTTTTCTGTGTGACTCTTGTTAACTTTTCCCCTTAAGTGCTCCAACAATGTTGTTACACTTACCTGTAATATTTTTCTGATACACAAATGTATCAGTTGGTATTTTCCTCCTGGGAAACTTTTTTCAGAATCCTAAACTATCTTGTTCCAGTATGGACTATTTACTCTTCAGTACTATTGTCCTGGAATGTACTTTTACTAATATTTTGGAATACCCCTTTGCAATTCTTTGGTTTCTTTCTTTTTTTTTAATTGAAGTATAGTTCACAGTTTAAACCATTTTAAAATGTATAATTTGGTAGTTTTAGTACAACATTGTACAATCATTACCACTGTCTATTTCCAGAACGTGTTTATCATCCCAGAAGGAACCTCAAATCCCTTAAGTAGTCATTTTCCATTCTCCCCTCTGCCCAGACATTCATAAACCCTAATCTACTTTTGGTCTTAATGTATATACTTATTCTGGGTGTCTCATTTAATGGAATTATCTTATACGTGACTTTTAGTGTCTGGTTTCTTTCACTTACTGTAAGGTTTTCAAGGGTCATCCATATGTAGCATGTATCAGTACTTCATTCTTCCTGTTTATGGCTGAATGACATTCTCTTGTATGGATATACCACATTTTATTTATCTCTTAGTTGATGGGCATTTGGATTGTAAACTTTTTGGCTATGATGGATATCTATTAATATTTTTGTACAAGTATTTGAACACCTGTTTTCATTTCTCTTGGATATATACATGGGAGTGGACTTGCCAGGTCATATGGTAATTCTATGTCTAACTTCTCTGAGGAACTCTCAAAATATTCTCCACAGTGGCTACACCATTTTATTTTCCCCCTAACAATGTGTGAGGGTTTTAGTTTCCTGACTTCCTTGTTAGGATCTTTTTTTTTTTTTTAATTATTATTACTGTAATCATTGCAGTGGGTGTGAAGTTATCTCATTGTAATTTGATTTGCTTTTTTCTAATGACTAATGGTATTGAGTGTCTTTGTTCATTTTCCAGTTTTACTTGTTACTGATTTCTAATTTCATTGCATTATGGTCAGAGAGAGGATATTTTTATGATACCATTTTTTAAATTTATTAAGACTTATTCTGTAGCCTAATGTGGTTCATCCTGGAGAAAGTTTCATGTGGTACTTCAGAAGAATGTACATTCTGTGTTTTTGAGTGAAGTATTCTGTATATGCTTGTTAGGTTTAGTTGGCTTACAGTGTTGTTCATATCCTCCATTTATTTCCTTGTTGATCTTTTGTCTAGTTTTCTGTTCATTTTTGAAAGTGGGGTTTTGGAGTGTCCAGTTATTATTAAACTCTCTGTGCTCCTCCAGCTTGGTCAGTTTTTCTCTTCTGTTGTTAGGTACTATATATTTATAATTATCACTGTAATGAATTGACTATTTTAACATGATATATATATGATATTATCTGTTTATGTATTATAACAATTTTTATCTGTTTTCATTTGTTATTAATATACCAACTCCAGCTCTCTTGGTTATTGTCTGCATCAGATATCTTTTTCATTCATTCATTTTCAGCTTATTTTTGTGATTGCATCTAAAGTGAGTATCTTTATGGGGCACCTGGGTGGCTCAGTTGGTTAAGCGTCTGACTTCACCTTAGGTCACCATCTCCCAGTTTGTGGGTTTGAGCCTCACATCAGGCTCTGTGCTGACAGCTAGCTCAGCCTGGAGCCTGTCTTCAGATTCTGTGTCTCCTTCTCTCTCTATCCCTCCCCTGCTCATGCGGTCTTTTTCTCTCTTTCTTAAAAACAAAAATTAAAAAAAATCTTTAGATAGCATATGATTTGATCATATTTTTAATCCATTTTGCCAATTCATGCCTTTTTTTTTACAGCTTGTTGCATATATATATATATATATATATATTTTTTTTTTTACAAATAGTTTATTGTCAACTTGGTTTCCATATAGCACCCAGTGCTCATCCCCACAAGTGCCCTCCTCCATGCCCATCTCTCCCCTCCCTCCCCCCCCACACCCATCAGTCCTCAGTTTGTTCTCATCATTCAAGAGTCTCTCATGGTTTGCCTCTCTCCCTCTCCCCCACCATTTCCCCCCTTCTTCTCCACCATGGTCCTCCGTTAAGTTCCTCCTAATCCTCCTATATGTGCAAACATATGGTATTTGTCCTTCTCTGCCTGACTTATTTCGCTCAGCATAACACCCTCAGGGTCCATCCATTTTGCTACACATGGCCAGATTTCATTCTTTCTCATTGCCATGTAGTATTCCATGGTATAGATAAGCCACATCTTCTTGATCCATCCATCTGTTGATGGACACTTAGGCTCTTTCCATGTTTTGGCTATTGTGGAGAGTGCTGCTATGAACATTGGGGTACATGTGCTCCTATGCATCAGCATTCCTATATCCCTTGGGTCAATTCCTAGCAGTGCTATTGCTGGGTCATAGGGGAGTTCTATTGTTAATTTTTTGAGGAGACTCCACACTGTTTTCCAGAGGGGCTGTACCAGGTTACATTCCCACCAACAGTGTAGGAGGGTGCCCGTATCTCCACATCCTCGCCAGCATCTAGTGTTCTCTGATTTGCTCATTGTAGCCACTCTGACTGGTGTGAGGTGGTATCTCAGTGTGGTTTTGATTTGTATTTCCCTGATGAGGAGGGATGCTGAGCATCATTTCATGTGTCTGTTGGCCATCTGGTTGTCCTCTTTGGAGAAGTGTCTATTCCTATCTTCTGCCCATTTCTTTACTGGGTTGTTTGTTTTTCGGGTATTGAGTTTGGTGAGTTCCTTATAGATTTTGGATATTAACCCTTTGTCTGATATGTCATTTGCAAATATCTTTTCCCATTCCGTTGGTTGCCTATTAGATTTGTGGATTGTTTCCTTGGCTGCACAGAAGCTTTCAATCTTGATGAGGTACCAGTCGTTTATTTTTGCTCTTGATTCCCTTGCTTTTGGGGATGTGTCAAGTAAGAAGTTGCTGAGGTGGAGGCCAAGGAGGTTGTTTCCTGCTTTCTCCTCTAGGATTTTGATTGTTTCCTGTCTCACGTTCAGGTCCTTTATCCATTTTGAGTTTATTTTTGTGTATGGTGTGAGAAATTGATCTAGTTTCATTCTTCTGCATGTTGTCCAGTTTTCCCAACACCATCTGTTAAAGAGGCTGTCTTTTTTCCACTGGATATTCTTTACTGCTTCATCAAAGATTAGTTGGCTGTATACCTTTGGGTCCAGCTCTGAGTTCTCAATTCTATTCCATTGGTCTATGTGTCTGTTTTTGTGCCAATACCATACTGTCTTGATGATGACAGCTTTGTAGTAGAGGCTAAAGTCTGGGATGGTGATACCTCCCATTTTAGTTTTATTCTTCAGTATTACTTTGGCTATTCAGGGTCTTTTGTGGTTCCATACAAATTTTAGGATAGTTTGTTCTAGTTTTGAGAAGTATGCTGGTGCAATTTGGATTGGAATTGCATTGAATGTGTAGATTGCTTTGGGTAGTAATGACATTTTAACTATATTTAGTCTTCCGATCCATGAGC